ACGCTCATAATTTGAAGTAAAACTAGGATAATTAATGAGATCTCAACTTTACAAATCCAATAGTTAAGTTTATAAAGAAGAAGGAACAATTTTCAAAACAATAATTGATAACGATAAGTATATCTCATGTACGCAAATAGACTAGCATTAATACACACATGAGAACATCAGGACCTACTCATAAACACACAATTCTCCAACCAATCATCGCAAGGATACACCATTTTATAAATGGCGTATACTGACGCATTGGCAGTGATGAATCCTTCCTAAGAATAGTATACTAACCTCTAACCTCGATGCCCGGGAGTGAATAGTGTGAATTTTTGAACTTCGCAAGGAACCAAACAATTCCACTATGATTGATAGAAAATTTTAAAACTCCTAAAGGTAAGAAACACATCTATACATTCTACAATATTCGGTCGAAGGTAACCCGCGTTTATCACACCAACCAATACAAATAGATAATTTTCATCACATCCACAAAAAAAATCACGAATCACGGTTCTACAATTGTCAAAATAGAATAATTTCAAGAAAACATGCCAGAGATCGCCAAGAAATATCTTTGAATTGATAATAATCAAGAGCTAGGCTTTTTGACGTCAAGAACATTGGATTTGAATTGTAAAACATGTAATTCTTCCAAGAAAGCAATCATATTATCATAAAGAGTATAAAAACATTTTATATCTATCATATATAATCAAATAGAAGACAAAACATACGCATAAGTAATCCTAATCCTCAATAACTAAACTTGAGAAAGAACCCTACCTTTTCCTCTACGATCTAGTTTTTCCTCCTCATTTAACCCTCTGTTGGCTTTTTAGGGTTTAAAGTTGTTGAAATTGGACCTAAAGAATGTCTTTAGGGTATTTATATGGTCAAAATCTAAACAATCGTCTTGTCCCTAATCGTTGTAAAAATGACACTCACGTTTGAATGTGGTTAAGGGAACCTAAAATTCATTCCCCAAGGCAAACTAATCTTTGAACTATAAAAGGAGATTAGGGGGACATAAGAAAGGTACACAACTCTTATTCCAAAAGTCACTATCTACCTTGTTCAATAGAATATTAACTTAAGCATCGTAGGGTCGACCCCTGGAGCTCCTCCCTCTAGTCTTTAACTTTTTTTCAGGTTTTCAAAGCTCTGCCAACTGACGTGGACCCTTGAAGAGCTATCATGGAAGTCAATAGAGTTCACAAATTTGCACTAACATAACTCAATTATGCTCACACATAAAAAAACTTTGCTCTTTTACAACTTGGCTTAACTCTCAAAGCTCATCAACTCATATAGCTCACATAGCTCTACTTATCTTGTTTGTTCCTCGAGCCAATTTAGATCGGGAAGCCTAGGTCACCAAAAGGTGCATATGCATCATAAGGTTGAGAATCGGGGACATCCAAAATCATGTCGCCTAGCTCAAAAATGAGCAAAAGAAACTTGGGATCTCTAGCTCACTAGTGCAAGACCTAGCATCACCTAGGCTCATTGGGGATTAGTTTGATTAATCCCTGAAGAGTTGAACCCTAAACCAAGGCAAAACCCCATTCATGAAAATAGAGCTAATTAGGTTAAGTGCCTAACACCTTAATCTGAGGTCGAGCTCTACATGCAAAAATAGATATTTATTAGCTTGCCAATAATATAAATCTTAATAGAAAATATTAAATACATGCAAAAATAGATATCTATCAGCTAGCTAATAATATAAATCTTAATAGAAAATATTAAATGCCTAATAGCCTAACTCCAAAAATGAGCACTATAGGCAAAAATAGATATCTAAAAGCTCGTCAATAAATATGAGCTTTGCAAATAAAGTCAAGTGTCTAGCAGCTTAGAGCCGAGCTATAGAGGCAACAATTAATGTCTAATAAAATGTTGAAAAGAAAGATGCCAAACAAAAAAAAAAAACTATGGTGCATGTGCCGCACATTCTAGGTTAGATTGAGGCGGCCACTGATGATGAAAAAACTAGCTGATATAAAGATACACTTTATTGGGTTACTAGCCCAACTTAGTTTATTAAGAGTCCTAACTTGATTAGAAGAGGGACTATGGGATAAATTCAAAAGATGGGAATAATGCACATTCAAATTGATAACAACCTAATCCTAACTAAAGTGATAATGAGGAGGCCAAAGTCCAATCCTAATGCAACTTTATCTCTAAAGCTCCTATAAATATACCTTCGACTAATATTGTAGGTATGCCACTTTTAAATTCTTAAATCATTCAATACCATTGAGTCTCTTACTAACTTAGACTGAAGGTAAATTCTCATAGTTTTCACTCCAATCTTTGATTTTTTTTAGGGTGAGCGAGATCTAATGAGCTGATGTGGAAGTCACCTCAAAATTTGCATCAACAAAACAAATGGGTTATTAAGTAAGGTGGAAAATAGGGTAGATAGAAAAGAGAAGGCAAACAATAGGATGGAAACTACAGTGTGAGAATCATATTGTGACTATTTTATGGCATCGAGAGCGCAATGTAGACAAAATTGGCCTTGTTTGTTTGATAGGTTTACTCGTTTGCAATGGTGGGGTTTGATAAAAACAATCCAATGAGCCATTCTATCCCATGTTTGGTTATAGATTTGAGGCTCGGAATTGGAATCCCGACTTGTAATGGCCTTTTCGGTATGTATATGGGTTCAACAAACCTATGGGGTTTGGTAGGTTTAATCAATTTTATGGCAAATATTTGTAATCAATCGGTGAGCCCCATATGTAACGGCTCCTCATTGATAAAAGAAAGAAGATGAGTTTTTTTTTCTTTTTTGATTACCTTCCTCGCGTATGTCTAAGACTAAATCCATTCGATTTTTAAACAAAATTACTAATCCTTAACTTTTCGAGGAATCCTTCATCAATGGTTGTGAATGACTGATTTCACTCGTCAAACATGAGATTAGATATGATATACTGTTCAATCTCATAAACAAAACTCAACTCAATGGTTGAGTTTAGAAATTTTTCACAAATGCAATTCAATTTCTCTCATAAAAATCATTCAAACAGGGCTTTTATGTTTCCAATAGATCCACCTTAAGTAAAAAATTAAAAAATACAAGATATAACCAATATTCTGTTCAATTTTGGTTAATTAGGATCCTTTCTAATAATACATTACCCCACTTTTATGGAATTCATTGAAATGCAATGTGGTGACCCAGTGGCAATTGTAGAGGTAATGCAATGTGGAAGTTGTGAAGTGGTGGCGATGAAATGAAGTTTAAGGGGTAGAAAGGTATTATTCTCATCCAAACCGGTTAGGCTCCTTCGAAACTGAAACCCACATTCAAGGGGTTAAGCTGCCGGGGCAGGTTGGGGCTGAGAATGCAATCCAACGATCAATTTGTGCATCTGCACAAGGGTATTCGAAAGTGGATTGGATTATTGTTTCCTAACCCCCCTTATATACTTGTCCAAACACTCTAAACAAACAGGCCATGGAAGTTGTGAAGTGATGGGTTGGTGTTGCTGTGATGGCAGTGGTATTGTGGTTGAATGGTGATGGGTTTTAATTATGGGCGAATTGCATTTTGTTCCCTAAAAAAATTTAAGATTCTCGCTTTATTTTCTTAAAGCTTAAATTTCTCACATTGTACTTTTAATGTATCAAAAATATTTCAATGTGATAAATTTAATTTTCAAGGATGCAAAGTAAAAATCTTAAAATCTTTTCAGAGTGTAAAGTGCGAAAAATCATTTATTTATTTATTTAAGGGTTACCGGATGGTGAATTTTTTTTTAACGGAATGGAATTGAATCACTAAATTAGTAGATATAAAATGGGGACGAGTGTAAATAAGATAAGCTTAATCATTAATTGAATAATATTAAGGTGAAAATTGATTTAGTAGTTTAATATTAAAAAATTAGTTATTGCTTGTGTCTGAAGGTACGAAGTAATAAAAAAATGATCAATAATAAATATATTTGTATTTACACTTAAAATTAAATCATAAATAAATAAATAAAAAATATATATATATATATATATGAGAGAGAAATGAATTTAAGTACCGGAGAAATGAATTTAAGTACCGGTTATAGTGAAAGTGACTGGTGGCAGTGGTGGTGGCGATAGAATGGCGGTGATGGTCATGGGGGGGGTGGCGCAATAGAGGTAATTGTGGCAAGGGTGATGGTAAGACAGTGACGGTGGTGGGTGTGGTGGAGGTGGTGCAAGGGTAGAAGTGGTGGTGGTGGTAGGGTGGCGAAAATGGTGGTGGTGGTAGGGTGGCGAAAATGGTGATGACGACAGTGGTGAAAGAATGGTGACAGTGGTGGTGGTGGGGGTAGTGGGAATGGTGGTGGTGCAACGGTAAAGAGGGGTGGTGGTAGGGTGACGATAGTGGTGGTGGTAACAACGGTGATTTATTGTGACAGAGGTGATAGTGGTAGTGGTGATGTTGGGGGTAAGGGTGGGGGTAACGGTGGTGAGGGGATAGTTTGGTGGTGGGGGTGGCGGTGGTAAGGCGGTTTCAAACACTACTTTTTTTTTTTGTTAAAGTATTTATAAGAAATTATAAGTAATAATAAAAATAATTTTAAAAATTTACCCCAAACATACCCTTAGGGTCTGTTTTTCTTATTAAATTTAAAGTGTTAATATTAGTCGTCAAATTAATTTTAAAATAAAAATTATTTTATTTATTTTTTTATATTTAAATTTATTGTATTTTATTAAATAAATTTAATGGGATAGGGACAAAAATTTGTGAGCGTCTGCCATTTTTATTCGGCAAGCTTCCGGAAAGTCTTCTTTTCGTCCAAAAGTATTGGGAAAGCTTCATTTCAAATGCCACTTCCATATATATATATATATATATATATATATTCCTTTGTTTCAAACCCCATCTCTTTCTTCACTGCTTCACTGTTTTTTCTCTGTATCCTAATAGTCTCACTAACATTATTGCTATTTTGCTATTTTTCACTGAGATATTTGGAAAACCAAGACATTATCAACTCCGAATGGGGTTCGAAGACTTGGAACCCATTTTTGGCCAACCCAAGGCAGAGTGGTCAGCTCCAAACTCCACCCCACTGCGCCCATTATTGTTCCATGTTCATGCTCTGGACCCTTCTCGCCTCAGAGTCCTTGTCACTGATTTTCATTCTAACACTTACGAGGCCGTTCGCTCAGTTCAACACCTCGAGGACATGGTGAGCTTTTTCGTTTTAACCTAATTTTAACTTTACATGTATTTTGGATTTTTTTTTTCATGTATGGGCGTGTGTTAGATTTTTCACAATTCATTCAGTCCTGATGTCGCCTCATTTGGTAATCTGATTAGCAAGTTAACCGCTGTAGTCCATAATGAGATTGTTTTTGTTCCTTTATATTCAGTTCGCAGTTCAACTAATTGAGAAAGAACTAGTTTTGTCGAATAATGATCAGCTTAAAACCAGCTGGTGTGCTATTGAGCATTGCCAAAGGAAGAACCCTAATATAAAAAATGAGAAAATGAAGAACACGCCCAAATAAACCCACATAAGCTGTGACGTTGTATTTGGCAGATTTTGAAATTGTTTTTCAAGTTTTGAGTGATTTTTTTAAATAGCAGTTGTTTTTCATTATAATAGTAGCTAGACACAAATGTAAGAATGTAGATCAATTTTGAGAGAATAATAATCCCATATTGCTTTTTTTTGAATATTTTTTGTTGCTTAAAAA